AAGAGTGTTGAGATGATAGAAGATGGCAAAGTTGCTGAATCTTCCTCCAAAGATGAGAGAATAAAGACTGCAACAAATATTCCAAGAGTAGAAAAGCTTCCTACAAATGTGCTAAGAGGCAGACAAGAAGTTAAATACGAGCAATGTTCAAAGGGAATGTCAGAATCCTCAAAAGATTGTTTCAAGGAGAAAAATGAAAAGGAAATGGAAGAAGAAGCAGAAATGAAGGCTGTAGCTACTTCTCCTAGTGGCAGGTTCCTGAAATTTGACATAGAGCTGGGAAGAGGAGCATTTAAAACAGTATATAAAGGACTGGACACTGAAACATGGGTTGAAGTTGCTTGGTGTGAGCTGCAGGTGTGTATACAATCTTCTTGGTTTTAATAAATTCCAGTTTTAGCTGGCCTGGGCTTCTGAGTGATCCAGTATTAAAATGTATCATGGATTAAAATAAAACGAAGGAATTGTCCCCACATCCCTGAAATTATGTTCCTTTCTTAGATCCTCTTAGGAGCTCACGCCAAACTTTTGTTTTTCCTGTTGTTTTCCCCTCTGTTTTAAAGGGAAAAAGTCTATTCTGCCTTTCTTTGAGGAAATGCTCCTAATTCATTACCCTTAGGAAATTCCCAAAACTCTTAATGTCTCATTTTGAAAACTTTTAGTAAATGTATGCCTTATGAGTTGATTGTTATACTAAATATTTGAGAGTGTGATATGTTAGGGATATATTCAGTGTGATATTTCCCATCTCTCTTTTTCTTTCAACAGACTTTTGGGGGTTCATGTGTTGTTTTTCAGAACAGGAAATGGTTTTCTTGTTTCTTTGAGGGCTTCTAGTAATATAAACTCCTTTCCATGCCTTTGAGTTTACCTCAGAGAGGATCTCTGGAAGAAATAATCACCAGAATCTACTGAGCTTAGTCAACTGGAATGTTGTTTAGGAAGGAGAAGTGAAAACATCAGAAGAATAGTTGAATTACCTAGATATTTGTTTCCATACTAAATGTTTATATGGTACTTGTAACTAATGAAGGACTAAATGGAGACAGAACATCATAGAAAGGGTTATAATAGGAATAGTTTCAGACAGATGTAGGTTAAACATAAGGAGAAGCTTTGTGACCTCAGCCAGCTCATGGGAAATGGTCAGTGTTCACAAGAGGTGCTTAAAATTAAGATTAAATAAAGCCAATCACTAAGTACAGGTTTTTTTGTTGTTCAAATTCCAGTGGTCTCTGTGTGTGGGTGTGTATGTATGTATCATGATTTCACACCTTCTGAATTTGCTATAGATTGCTATTTAGATAGGTTGAAATTTAGTCTTGGTCCCTGCATTTCTAGGAAGCCTTTTGTTTCAAAACTTTACTCTGTTTTTTTCTGTTTTTTAAAAAACTTTACTCTCCTTTTGTTTCAAAACACTTACTCTGTCAGTGTTTGCTTTGTATGCAGATTCAGGAGACTATTGTCAGAGACTGAGATTCTGTAAGTCTGGGGTGGGATGCAAGACTGCAATTTTTTTTTTTTTTTTTTTTTTCGGTACGCGGGCCTCTCACTGTTGTGGTCTCTCCCGTTGCGGAGCACAGGCTCCGGACGCGCAGGCTCAGCGGCCATGGCTCACAGGCCCAGCCGCTCCGCAGCATGTGGGATCTTCCCGGACCGGGGCACGAACCCGTGTCCCCTGCATCGGCAGGTGGACTCTCAACCACTGCGCCACCAGGGAAGCCCAAGACTGCAATTTTAACAAGCTTTCAAAGTGCTTCCAGTATAGGAAGTCCCTTGACGACTCTTTGGAATGCAAGTTACCTAGCAGTCCAGCCATTCTAGTAGTTCTTAAAAGATGTGTGCGTGTGCTGTGTGGGTTTTGCTTGGTTTTCTTTTTACCCCCTTTTTACCCTTTAAGAATTTTATTTTAAGGTCTGTGTCACAGTAGGAATATTAGATACTGCGAGTAAACAAACATTAAGATCACCTGAAATTATACTACTTTGAGGATGCTTTAAATATTTCAGTATATATCTTTATGGACTCTTTCTTTTGCATAAATGTATATATGACTGTATGCCACCGCCATGGAATTGTACTATTAGGTTTGAACAAAACTTTTTTTAACTTATCATGAACATCTTTTCATTACTGGTAATTGTACATTTACATCATTATTTTTAATAGATGCCCTTATAAGTTATTCAATCTATTGTTGGACTTCTACATTTTTCTCCGATATTTCACTATTATAACCATGGTTGTGATCAATATCCTTGCATATATATATTGAAAATTATGTAAATTTTAATTTAATCTCTGCATTGTGATTTCAGTAACACTCATCTTTTTTTGGAGTGGGGTCCACAAAATGTAAAATATTTACTATCTGGTCCTTTGTTGTTGCTATTGTCATTTGCTTTTTTTCTTCCAGTTTTATTGAGATATAAATGACATACAACACTGTGTAAGTTTAAGGTGTACAGCATAATGATTTGACTTAAATACATCATGAAATGATTATCACAGTAAGTTTAGTGAACATTGTCTCAAATAGATACAAAATTAAATAGAAAAAAAATTTTTTTCCTTGTGATGACAACCCTTAGGATTTACTCCCTTAACAATTTTCATAGATAACATACAGTAGTAGTGTTATCTTTAGCATGTTGTACATTACATCTCTAGTACTTATTTATCTTATAAATCTTTTGACTGCCGTAACACTCATCTTTTAATGATACTCTGTTTGTAAATGGGGGAGATAGTTTCCATTCACTTGGTAGTAGGACACATAGTGAAAATATGTCAAGTATTTTGCAAATTGTGTACTCTAGCTATGCTAAAGAATGTTTAGGTAAAACTTGAAAATATTTTAGTGGTAGGAACTGCCTAGGGGAATACCTTCTATTATTCACCTGTGGAAAGGTTGAAAGATCCCATAAGGTCTTACTACTCCAAGTGTACTCTCTGGACCAGCAGCATGGACATCACCTGGGAACTTGGAGCCGCAGGTTCCTAGGCCTCATCCCAGACTATTGAATCAGAGTCTACCTCTTAGTAACATCTGCAGGTGATTTGTATGCACAGTAGAGCTTGAAAAGCACTGAAATAAGGGACTAATTCCAAGAGCTAGCTGAATCAGAGGAGGAATTCCCTTAATACACCAACATGAGCTTTATATTATATCATTTATACCAATTCTTGGCATCCACTCCAGACTTTCTAAATTAGAATCTTCAGGAGGTGAGGCCCAGGAACTTACTTTTTTTAAGAAATTAATTAATTAATTTTGGCTGTGCTGGGTCTTCGTTGCTGCGTGCGGGCTCTAGTTGCGGTGAGCCGGGGGGCTACTCTTCCTTGCGGTGTGCGGGCTTCTCATTGCAGTGGCTTCTCTTGTTGCAGAGCACGGGCTCTAGGTGTGTGGGCTTCAGGAGTTGTGGCTCGCGGGCTCTAGAGCGCAGGCTCAGTAGTTGTGGCACACGATCTTAGTTGCTCCGTGGCATGTGGGGTCTTCCCGGACCAGGGCTTAAACCCGTGTCCCCTGCATTGGCAAGTGGATTCTTAACCACTGTGCCACCAGGGAAACCCCAGGAACTTACTTTTATTATTTATTTATTTATATTTTTAATGAAGTTTTATTTTATTATTATTATTTTTTGGTCACACTGTGCAGCTTGAGGGATCTTAGTTCCCCAACCAGGGATCGAACCTGTGGCCCCTGCAGTGGAAGCTCAGAGTCCTAACCACTGGACCACCAGAGAATTCCCCACAGGAACTTACTTTTAAAAGTTCTCCAGGTAATTGGATATATAGCCAGATTTGGGGATCTCTCATGTGGAGTAAATGTTGTAAATTTTAATTTACAAAAATAAAGTACATTTTAATTTATACAAAGAACAACAATTGCAATCTTCTATTCTGAAAGGAATGTCAGAATTAGTGGACTTAGTTGATACAATTTTTGGATCTCATGTCACTTTCTGCATATTTGGAATTAGGAAAAACTAACTTATTTAGAATCCCAGAAGGATAAGGGCATCATCTTTTAATTACTTTCCTGTGAGTAGTATGCAGTTTGTAATGTACAATTTCTCATATTTTTTCTGTAAAGTCTTACTCTTTATTATATAATTAAATAATTTTGTTGAAAAACATCCCAGTGAGCAGTTTAAATGTTTAAATTATTCTTGATTCTTTCCCAACCTTTGTTTATATATATATGTGTGTGTGTGTATAATATATAAAATTAGTGTGTCTATACTTTTTTTTATCAATTTGACATATATTTTCTATTTATTAACATCATTAAAATATGTAAACTATATTTTATTGCATACACACCACCTCTTAATCTTCTCCCCTGAAATTTGGCAGTTCTTTTCTTTCTTAAAATTTTATTTTTGCATGTTTGATTTGAAATTCACAGCTCACAAAAAGGTTTTTATACCTTTTTCTCTTGATCGCATTTCTGCCTATTGTAGATATTTGAGCCTTGTGTAACAATTCTTAAAAGCCTCATATCCATTTATTTAGAATACATGGACTTTAGGGCAGTGCAAAGAACAAGGAGAGACAGATTTTACTGCTGATATTTGACTTTGAGGATGTTGAAAACAAACAAACAAATCCTTTGAAGATGTGGGTCAGATTTAGGATTTGGCCATAAACATTTGCATTTCAACAGTTTGTCATATTTTATGGTTCCTATGATTTGATTTTTTAATGCAGTATTGGGAAGAACCTGTTGTTCTTTGTAAAGAACTTGTAAATTACTTGGTAATTGCTTGGTAAATTGGTAATTTATTGTGAGTGAGGGCTGTCAGTCATACGTTTTATTTAGAAGACTTTTAGTTCATGATGTTGAAAGACCTGGTCACATGTCACTAAAAGACCTGTTTAGTAACTTTTAGAAGGAGTCAGTCACAAGAGTTTGTAATAGTTTTCTCCTACACTAACAACATGAAAATCAACAACACCTTGCTTTTACATATGGAAACACAACCAGTTTTTGCTTTACTTCCGCTAGCATGCTTGTCATTTGTTTTCTTGATGGAACTGAGTTTTCATATAACGCTATTTTCCAACTGAAGGAACATCATAGATATGTAAAATTTTTTGTTATTTGACTGTTTCTAAAATGTATTTGAGTGTGCTTGTAATAAGCTTCACTGTGGGGTCAATTCTGTGATTGTGTGCTTTTCAAGGTAATTAAACAGGCCTTCTTTAAGTAACATCTAACAACTAGACCTCTAACAAGTCAGCTGTAGTCTCTGAACTGAGCCAAAAATGGCACTGAAAAGAAAGATTTAAAAAAAGACATAGTTGACTGTAGCAAGTTGATGTGTTGAGTGAGCCTTCTAATACACTTTGAT